ACCACAACAACAGTCGGCAGGAGAGGTTGATACGACTAGTTGCGGTAGCACTGTAGATGACTGTCATGCAATGAAGTGTTTCGGGTAGACTTCTCCTTTCTCTAAAAAGAAAATGACGGTTAGAGATGGTCAGTTCACAAGGTGTCATTTTTCTTCAAAATTTGAACCAAAATCGACGTAATCATATATCTTCATAATCACGTCACCTGTTTTAACGAAATGCAGTGTTTCCCGCGAACAATACTGACACCAAAAAGAAGAGTTGAACGCGGACGATCCTTTACTACCCCAGCCGAAATGGCGTTTTATCCTAACTATTAGTAATAGCATTGGCTGTAGGCTGTAATGTTTACGGACTAGTTTTTGGTGACCGACTCAAAGAGCACCGACTCCATCGAAATGCATTAATCCAGCTCACTTTTCAATTTTAAATCTTCTGCCAACGTCGAATATGCTGACTGGAGCTACTCTATCTGCAATCGCCCTGTTGAACCGCTTCTTGCACTGTTTTGTCAGCTTCTACTCGGAAATCCACAAACATTTGTGCGTCCTTACAACGAAAGGGTACATCACGTATCAAACTATTGCAATGTCTTCGCATGACTCGAAATCTCTCGCCTGAGTTTGTATCTTCCACCACGCAATATCCGCTCTCTCCTCTCGCGATAATTTGAGTGCAATTTTGGTCTTGTTCTGGATCTCTTGGTCCATCGGGAGTGCATCCACGCGTGGATCTCCACCCCACACACTTCAAAGTTTTTAAATCTCCAGAAGGGAAATCTTTAACCAGACGATCCTGGAAATTCGGCAAAGTATTTTCCAGTGAACCGCTAGTTTCATTAATTAGCGAACCATCAAGACGCGATGTGAATGCCCCGATACTGTAAGCTGACCAAAATAGCACCGCAAATGCGTAAATTACGATTCCGAAAAGTAAAACTTGGCGTGTGCGGGTGTTCTGTTGAATCCACAACAGCCATGCAGACTGAGGTGTGGAGGAGAAACGACAGAAAATCGCCTCCGAAATCGACCAACTCTTCCGAATGCTGAACCTCGCTGCGACTGTGACGATGATGAACGCACAAGCTACGGCTTCCAGTAACGCGGCGAAACTCTTCGCAAAGCTTGAAAATATGCACGGTGATATCCGACTTAGTCACGACCAAATCCACGCCGCCCTCCTTGCGGACAGACAACAACTTGAACTAGTCAAGAAGAAGAAGGTGGTGAATGAACGGGGACCTGCAGTCGAGAAGTTCGCTGCCATCGAGGTGGGGGAGGTCCGTCAACCATCCTTCGTGGAGACGGATACACCCGCTGTCACTGACGAGAAGCCCGCGTTGAA